AACCTCAAGCAATACGAATTAGAAAAACGTGTTAACAAGGCGTTAAATGTAATCATTAAACTTGAGGATAATTAGTTGAATATTTTTTATTATTTTAATAAATTACGTATTTTCCTGTACAATTATGCTATTTGTGTAACATATCTTTTCGGTACAAATACCTGTGATTTACACCTAATTTACGTTTTTCACTTTTCGTTCGTCAATATGACCAAGTAAATATTTTATTTAAGATTATACAACACAACTAACAAACTAACAATAACAAGAACTTATGTAGACGAAGTTTTTCAAGAAGAAAAGAAAAGGGCTACCACTCAAGCATCAGCAACTAATAAACTAATAATAACAAGAACTTATGTCGACGAAGTTCTCCAAGAAGCAAAGAAAAATGCTGCTTTTCGAGCATCCGTTGATAAAATATTAGCTGATGTTAGGTCAACTTTACCTTTGCGTGAAATTAAATCGTGTGAAAATGAAGTCGTTAACATATATAATCAAGCATTAAACTTTAGTTTTATGATGATGATTTTATTCTTTTTATTGGGTGTGATGTTGGGTGTTATGTTGGGAATAACTATTCATATGAGCATTTACACTAAGCATAATTTATCAGAATTAAAAGAATTATATGAATTATATAAAGCAATTTCAGAAAAAAATAAGCATTTTTATTATAAATTTTAAAATTTATTAAATAAATTATATAAAATAAAGAATAAATTATTCTTTTTTGATGTCCATTTCATCTGCAGAATCATCGGAATCATCGTTTTCACTATCGTTCAGGGTTAAACCAGTAATGCTATTGAGTGCGTTATCTAATCTTTTTTTTTCTTTAGTTTCTCTCTTTGAACGTTCATTTTCTAATGTTTCGCTAGTTTTCTTGAAGTTATGAATGATATATTTTTTTTGAGAATTGATGGAGTAGATTTTCGTTTTTTTTGTTGTTTTTCTTTTTTTCACAGGATCGTAGTATATTACGTATTTCATCGGGTGTTCGATCAGGTAATATTGCGTGTCTGGCATTGGATATTGTGGTTCTTTTCTTTTGTACGTAACGTCTAAACAGATGATACCATCGGGAATATTGATTTTTTCATTTTGTTTGTTTAAAAAAAAAAAGAATCTTGCGATGTTATCTTTTCCTTGGATCGTTTCTATTTTGATTTTGAATGGTAGGTTTTCAAATTCTTGAATATCATGATCGTGTTCCAGTTCTCCTTTGATGTTTCGTTTCCCAATGTTTAGAGCGCCGGCTAAGGACATTTTGCTAAAGTGGTTTACGTGTTTTTTCTTATTTTTTACTTTTGGCATTTATATTTCCTTATGGTAAATTGTTTCTCGTTTTATTCATTTGCTAATCCAAATTTAGCATTCCGAGCATGATTGCGTATTTGTATGAATCCGGATTTGGCATTCCGATAGTGATGCATGTGAGATTACGTAAGCGGATGTGACTTATTGATGATCGACGTTACAAATATCCACCGATTGCGCCCAATTTTATGTTTCTCACCCTTTTCGTCCGTGGTTTTATCAGAGAGACGGTGGAGAATACCTGCATCTTAATATCCGAACAGGGAGAAGCGTAGTCTCTCGCGAGAGATATGAACACGATGTGTGGCGGCGAAATGACGCATGAGATAACCATCTTTTTGGTGAAGCGTATTCACGTCTCTCTGGTTGACACGGGCGAAACGGTCAAATCTTTTTTTACATTCCTTCAAAAATCTTGGGAGAACGTACCAAGTAACAAAGTGTGTTTCTTGCTAAAACGATGACCGAAGCTGCTGGTATCTCTTCGGTAGTTGGTCGTTTCGGGTGAACTTTCTCTGTAACTACTGGGCGTGGTCATGTCTTCTCGTACGTTTTGCGTGAGAGACAGAGATCCAGTACAGAAGCTACTACCTAGAAATTTGCTTGAGTTTTGTGGGAACTGGGTCTCTCAGAACGATATTAACGAGGCGATTTTCTTTGCAATTTCGATGGTCGGCCTCATTAAGCTGGCTTTCTTTCTTGGGAAATCATGCGATGAATCTTAAAGGGGAACTGACATCTAGTGATTTAGGGGTCCCATTCGAAGGATCAAACGCATCCTTTGGAGTGTCTTTTCCTCTCCCTTGAAAAAATTATGAAGCTGATTTCTTTTTTTTTTCGAGTCGAGTGATATGTAACCTCCCTGTGGTTCGACTTGGGCAACGTGTTTATCATTAAAGTCACGGCTAATAACATATCAAATTTTATTTAAATTTTAATAAAGTACAGGATAACCATTGCGATTACCAGTTTTCTTATCATGTTCTAACTTGAAATCTATTGCATCTTGTTTGTTTTTAAAATATTTACGTTTAAATTTTTTATTTTCACACCAATAAAATACCCATCTCTTTTGTATTTTATAATAACTAATTCCATTGTATCCGCTTGTATTATTGTTTTGTAATTTACAATTTAGTCTATTATTTTTTGGTGTTGTTTCTCTTAAATTTATTTCACGATTATCAAAACCAATTCGATTAATATGATCAATCATTTTCCATTTTTGTTTGATCATCTTGTGAAAATGTATTGTATTCTTTTTTTTACGGGTTATAATATAATAAGTATTTCTATGCTTCCAAGCAGTCCACGTGTGATTTTTTAAGTATTCAAAGTACTTATAATCGGTGAGAAATGTGATGTCTGACTTCTGTGTTTTTACCTCGAGATATAGATTGTTATCGATCTTTACCATACGATATTCATTCAACTTGAGCCTGGGTTTATTAGGATTCTTGATCTTTTCCCATATCAAAGCCGCTTCAAATGATGGAAATTTCGATTTCCAGTTCATTGTTGATCAATAAATTTCCTAATGTGGAATCTTTATTTAGTAATTTTTCAAGTTTATAAATATGAATTTTGTATCTTAGTGATAAACTTAAAAATGAAACGAGAATTTGAGAACGATGATGAGATACACCCTATTTATTATGTTTTTAACCACATTTTCGATCCATATACCTTTCAAAGATGCTCGTTGGTTTGTAAATCTTGGAAAAAAATCCTTGACGAGCATCCTTTCTGGCGAAAGGTTGTGGAGGATTGCGGTCTCGAATCTCCAAGACCGAACTCAAGAAAATATAAAACTTACAAGTCGATATTCGTTAAAAACTTCAACAAATTGTGTCCATGCTACAAGGGTTTGTTGAAGGAGCACGATTTTGTCTATGCTGTGAACTTCAAATTACGTATCTTACGAGAGTATTGTTATTATAAGTTACGTTACAAAGTCTACAAGGATAATTATGTTTATCGTAATCTTGTAAATTTTGTTTTAGAAAAAATCTTAAAGTTGATAGAAAAAAGTGATATGTCAACTCATTGTATCTATCTTTTAGGTTATGTTAGAGATTTAATCAATCAAATTTACAAAAAACATGATAGAATCGAGAAATATAAAGAAATTTGTGAGTTTGTTAAAGTAGACTTTATTAAGGTAGTTGTTCGAAATTTGTATCGCATTATCAATGATAAAACATTATACATCGAGAAGTTTGGGGGTTATGTGAAGGATTGGCATTATAAAATTGATAATAAAGCCGAGTATAAAGATTTGTAAATCAAAATTTTAAATAAATATATGCATAAATATGCACGTTTTATTATAAAAAGAAATGATATTTTACTGTTCATTTTACTAAAAAATAAAATCAAAATGAGGTATTTCTTTTTTTTATTTTTTTATTTTTATTTTTTTTAATTTGTTTATTTATTATTTTTTTTAGTTCTGATGATGGTTGGGGTTCGCCTCCTAAAAAGATTTTGCGGGATTATTTCTTCGATCCTTTTAAGAATTCTCCAATATTTTGTGATCTTTGTGGTAAAAATAATCATTATTATAAGGATTGTCGCTTTAAAAAACATTGTCAGGCATGTGGTTCGGATAAACATTTTTTTAGAAACTGTATGTATAACAAGTGTACGTTTTGTAATTTCGTGCACTTGGGTCCCTGTAGGGAATTCATTTATTGTAATATATGTAAAAAGAACAATCACACTCCCAAGAGTTGTTTTTTTCGTAAAAAATAGATAAAATTTTATTTATTTTTTTAATTAAATAAAATTAAAAATACAAATTTTTATTACGGTTTAATTTAAAGAGATCAACATTTTTTAAATAACATCAAGATGTCATCAATGAAATTAGAATTAAAATTGAAACTTTTAAATACAAGAGGGATTTTTTCAATTATTTAGATGGTTTATTTTTCAAATTTGTTTCGTATTTGAGAATTTTCGTGTTTGAGAATTTTTGTTTCCTTTTATATTTTAATTCTCTGAGTTAATGAATTTTGGCTATAGGCCAGGCTGCCTAAGCCGAGTACAACAGAAGGCGGAGTAAATGAAATACGCCACGACTGATGCAGTCAGGAGTAAGTATTTCATTTATGAACGACTGGCGTATTTTTCTCGAGCTCTCAGGCAGTGTTACGAGAAAAAGTCGTATACCTTTTTTACACTAAGCGAAATAAGAAAATTCAGCACTGCTAATTTCATAAGCAAATTGGTATTGTAAACCTTAAATCGTACACAAATCGGTATATGCTGAAATCTTTGGTTTGTATTTTAATATAATTACTAATTTATGTAAGAATTATATATATAACAATTGACATCAAATTGGCATAAAACTCATTACAATTGTTATAATTTATTATTAAACTCAGGCAGAGTTTGGAGCCCAGTTTTATTTTCATGTTAAAATTAATTAAAACTGGTTTAACATAATAAAGTTTGGAAAAGTATTTGACCACCTAAAATAGTTTTTACATATCCTTAAGTAGTTAAATATTTTATTACTGAATGTTATTTTTTTTAAATATAATTGTCTTTAAGTAGTCGAAAGTTTTATTACTGAATATTATTTTTTTGAATATAATTGTTAGAATAAATTTGGATATTAACTTAATAATTCAGATTTAAATGCGAAGCAGAAAATAAATAATTAATATAAACCTGAATTTAAAAATAAAATCTGGTTCCAAACTCTATGCATTAGAATAATATGCATTATATATATAGTAAAAAGTAAATCATACAACAAATACATTAATAATTTTTTCTATATACATACATATCAGATGTCAGTTTAAATATTTTATTTTCTATTTATAGGAATTACAGCCAAATATTCACAAGAATTTTGCCGATTTAAAATTTTATACTTGTATGGTATAAACCGACTGAAATATTATGAACAGGAATAATACACTCATGCTGAATTGAATAGAATTCAGGGTCCCAAAGTTCAACATTACAAGTTTCATCAGCCCTAAAATAGAAACGAGTTGTAGCTGAATTTACAGATTTGTACTATCTAACATATGCTAATTTATGTTCTACAAGTCTGTTCAGTAGATTCATAACATGATTAAAAAAATACTAGACTTGTCCAGGGTACAAATCGACACTTCTGTCATGATTCATGAACTGAGCCAAAACAAATGAACTTTTTATATAATAAGAAGACATATCAGAACCAAATATTTCAGAATTTATTCAGCATCTTTCATATTTGTCTACCCTATTTAGAACAATGACAGCATCTTCAAAATCGTCAGTAAAAGGTTTTCTAAAGTTCATTGTCACATAAGTTGCTGTATAATATTCTACAAGCAAACTTAATAATTTGTTTGAAATTATTAAATATTCTTTTTGTAGTGGTAAGAACCCACCAGGAAATCGTTAAAAACTAGTAATACTTGATTCTTGAATATTATATATATTCAATAAAAATCGATGCAGTTCATCAAAAGAAAAATTATCAGTTTCTGAATGAGACCTAACGGAAGATCGATTTTCAGTAATTCTACACCCTCAATTTTAGGTATGGAGGCAGTCAAACTGATAATTTGGCCATTATTCATTAGTCTTCGCATAAGTTCAGACTCTATTTTTTGATGACTATTCGGCAAAGACCCTAAAATTCCATTCATTCTTTCAAATGAAAAACACCAAAAAGAGTATAATGGCCCATAATCCTGTACGCATTCACATAAATGTAATGAAAGATAAAGATTTGGTGTAATTTTTTCAGCCCTGTATTTACTCTCTATTAATTTTATCAACTTAATTAACCTTTTATAAGCCTTATTCATAAGGTCCCGCCTTATAATTCGGTATACTAATATCTGGCAAATTTTAACAAAATTTATTAAAATTTGCCAATCTTTACTTGAAAGATGTTTCCAAAGAACAACAGTAGCATAAATAGTAAAAAAATTTCACCACTGATCGGTGGTAAAATTTGAGAACCCCTCTCCACAATTCACTTCACACGGAATTCTGCTGATATCTGACGGTACTTGGAACTTATTCATCATGTGCTATACTTTTGTGAGCATATTTAACGTTAATACACCTTCATTAGTCCATATTTGCTTAGCAAGCCACTCAGAAATGCCAGGAAAATGCAATGCATTGGGTTAACAATTACATGATGAATTGGATCAAAATAATTTAGACAAAGTAATTCAGACTATCTAACTTTATGTCTTTTAACAAAACGCTTTCTTTCTGTATTAGAATTACAATGTCTCCACTCAAGTGCACTTTGCCAATGTACTGCTGAATCTTTCTGTACAAACCACTTATTTATATTTTGCATGCAACTGAAGTTAAATTGTCTACCTACATAATTAGCATTTTTTTCACAACGATGATATAACACTAATGCTGAAATATGCCCACACAACTTTCGGGCAGCCAGAATATCACATGAAACTAATATTAATGCTGCACAGATAACTTTTCCTTCAAAACTCTCGGCAGTTGAATCTAATTCTATACCATGCCAAAGAGACTCTAATTCATCGACAACCAGAGAGAGATAATGGTTAATTTTATGCAAACTCACTTCATCTGGCCCAGGTAATATGCCTAAAATTAATATATTTTCATGCTTAAATCGAATATCACATAGCAAATTTGCAATAGATACATACATCACACTAGTGCTATGTGATGTACCATTAAATGGTTGAAACCAGTTAAGATTCAACACAAAGACCAAATGAGAGTCTGCTTTTTCACTACAAAAAAATAGTGCCGAATCTTCATTGAATAGTTCATCTTTGAAAGTTCTCCAAATATCACCATCATAAATATCACTTAATAGATCGTTAATATTCAATCTATTTACCCAATGTCAAAAATTATTTTCAAAGCCTGGACTTTTATACATATTAGCCAATTGATACCTAATTGAACTAAAAGGAAAAACTAATTCCAGCTGGTTTATTTTACTACTATCTAACAACTTGGACTGAGTTAATAAATTGTTGTCGCAAATCCTTCTTCTAGAAATTGTTAAAATCAAATTTCAATAAATTTGTAAAATTAATATAAATGTATAACAAATAAATATAAAAAAGAAATTACCTAACTGCTGAATTGAAAAATTCTATATGGGAACTTTTCATAACTGACACTTGGTTGTTTTGCTTAAAACTAGTCACTTCTTTTTCATTATATAGTTTATGACACTTAGAACATGCTACAAAATTAACAAAATTATC